AAAAATCAAAGAGGGGGTAAAATAAAATGGGGCCTCCCCCCTAGCGAGCCATGACGCTACCTTGGAAACACAGGAAAACGGCCAAAAAATGAAAATCACTCCTTTTTTTGGGGGGGTGGGGCGACACTTGGGGGGCAGGAGAGGCGGCGCGTGCAGGCAGGGGGTCTGTCACCACGCACGTTACAGGCAGGAGGAGGCATGAGGCAGGCGCGACACCCGACGCGAACACGCTTAGGTCATGTGTGATGTGGAGGAAAGGGGACAGACGGACACACGGACACACCTACAGGCACGGTGGGGTGGTGGAGACCCCAGCACCCACCGCGGGGCTGGGGGACGAAGTCGGTGGCGAAAGTGCTGATGGCAGGAGGTCGGGGTGGGCAACGGCGGGGGGGGGGGGGCGACGTCCCCGTCCCCGATTTAGGGGATCTGAAAGACGTTGAGTTTACTGGTGTTTTTGAGGGTCTGCCGGCGGTTGCAGAACCAGACGCGGACGACTTCGCGGTCGTAGTTGAGCTCCTTGGCGATCTCGGTGATCTCCTGGCCGGTGGGCAAGGCGTTCTTCTCGAAGTAGGCGTTGAGAGCCTCGATGGCTTGGGGGGTGAAGGAGGTACGGCGCTTCCGTTTTTTGGAGGGTTCCCCCCCCACGAACTCCATCAGGTTTTGTTGCCCCTCTTGGTTACGGAGCTCAGCTTCGCTCAACCACTTCTCCAGCACCGGTTTCAGCTTCTGGGCGCTCTTGGGGGTGATGTCCAGCTTCTCGAACCTGCAGCGGGCACAGAGGAGCCCTCAGGGACGCGGCGAGGACGGGGGGGGGACGCACCGGGGCGGGGACACCGTGACGGGGTTGGGGGCACTGCTGCTTTCGGCAGGCGACACCACGGCGGGGAGTGAGGCTGCGGTGAGGAGCTTCGTGGGCAGCGACCCCACCCACCCTCCTTTTCTCCCATTTCCCTCCCTTTCCCTGATTTTCCTCCTTTTTTTCCTCCTTTTCCCCAGCCTTCCTCCCTTTCTCCATTTTCCTTCCTCTTCTCCCATTTTCCTCCCTTTCCCTATTTTTCCTTTCCTCCAATTTTCCTCCTTTTCTCCGATTTCCCCCTTTTCTCTAATTTGCCTCCCTTTCTCAGATTTCCCTCCTTTTTCCCCACTTCCCTCCTTTTCTCTAATTTTCCTTCTTTCCCTCAATTTTCCTCCTTTTCTCCAATTTTCCTTTCTCTAATTTTCCTGCCTTTCTCCCATTTTCCTCCTGTTCTCTAGTTCTCCTCCTTTTCTCCATTTTTCCTCCTTTTCTCCAATTTCCCCTCTTCTCCAATTTTCTTCCCTTTCTCCAATTTTCCTCCTTTTATCCGTTTTTCCTCCTTTTATCTGTTTTCCCTCCTTCTCTCCATTTTTCCTTGTCTCCAACTTTCTTTTCCTCCCCTTTCCTAATTTCCCCCATTTTCTCCAATTTTCCTCCCTTTCTCCAACTTTCCTCTCCAATTTTTCTACTTTTCTCCAATTCCCCTCCTTTTCTCCCATTTTCCTCCCTTCCCATACTTTTCCTCCTTTTCTCCAATTCTCCTCCTCCTCCCTAATTTTCCTCCTTTTCCCCGATTCCCCCCTCCCGAGGACGCAGCCCCCGGCCCCCCCGGTACCCGCAGATGGCCGACTGGCTGTAGGCGGGTCCCTCGGTGGCCGTCAGGGCCTGTCCCACCTGCGTCTGCGTCAGGCCGAGGGACAAGCGTCGGATCTTGAAGTTCTTGGCGAATTCCCGGATCTCCTCCAGGTTAATCCCGTCCTCCTCCGCGCTGCTGTTGGGAGCCGGGGGCTCTGCCGGCGGAGGGACGCGGGGGCTGCCGTGAAACGGCCACGGAGCCCCCCTCTCCCCCCCCACCATAAGGAGCATCCCCTTCGTTAGGCTCCCTAACGGGCGCCGGCGGTCATCCCTCATCCCCATCCCCAAGGATGCAGGGCGTGGGTGCGCAGCACCCTCCCCCCATCCCGGGGGATCCCAGACCCCGGTATCCCTCTTCCCAGGGGATCCCAGTCCCCGGCATCCCCCCAGTATCCCCTCCCCCTGTATCCCCAGCATCCTCCCCCATCCCAGGGGATCGCAGTCCCTGGCATCCCCCCAGTATCCCCTCCCCCTGTATCCCCAGCATCCTCCCCCATCCCAGGGGATCGCAGTCCCTGGCATCCCCCCAGTATCCCCTCCCCCTGTATCCCCAGCATCCTCCCCCATCCCAGGGGATCCCAGTCCCTGGCATCCCCCCAGTATCCCCCGCCGTGACTCACTGGAGACCAGCTGGCTGACGGTGGGGGTCTCCGAGCAGGTGATGGGGACGGGCGTGGAGGAAGCCTTCGCCGCCGGGGCAGGGTTTGCCATCACCACGGCCGGCTGGGAGAGAGCCGGGGCCGGCTGGATGGGCTGGACCTGGGGCAGAGGGGAGGGTCAGCACCCCCAGAGCGGGGGCTCCCCCTCTTCCAGCGCCACGGCCAGGCTGCTCCCTGCCCCCCGGCTCCATCCGGGTGGTGGCAGGAGAGCGGCCGCGGCGTTGCTTTTGCTGACGGTGGAGGTGAGACAGGCTGGGACGGAGAGGTGACACTGGAAACCACCCAGCTCCGTGCTGGGAGTGGGGACGTGACAATTCTGTACTGGGTTTGGGGTGTCCCACCACGTAGGTTTGGGGGCGACCAGCACCTCTGCTCACACCAAGGTGAGGCTTGGTCTTTCCCATCCCAGCTGGGAAATTTGGTGGGCACAGAGGGCAGGACGCCCCACGGGGCAGCACTGAGGGGCAGGAGGGGTCACGTCCCGAGGATGCTCACGGGCTCCCAAAGCAACGTGGCTGGGTCCCAAAGCAACGTGGCCGGGTCCCAAAGATGCTCACGTCCTCGCAAAGCGACATGGCCAGGTCCCAAAGCAATGGAGCCACGTCCCAAAGATGCTCACGTGCTTTCAGAGCAACGTGGCCACATCCCAAAGCAACATGGCTGGGTCCCAAAGCCACGCTGCTGGGTCCCAAAGATGCTCACGACCTCCCAAAGTAATGTGGTTGGGTCCCAAAGCAATGTGGCCACATCCCAAAGGTGCTCACGTGCTCCCAAAGCAATACGGCCGGGTCCCAAAGCCATGTGGCTGGGTCCCAAAGCAATGCGACCTGGTCCCAAAGATGCTCATGTGCTCCCAAAACAACGTGGTTGGGTCCCAAAGATGCTCACGTGCTCCCAAAGCAACGTGGCTGGGTCCCCGAGCCACGCTTCTGGGTCCCAAAGATGCTCACATCCTCCTAAAGCAATGTGTCTGGGTCCCAAAGCCACAGGGCCAGGTCCCAAAGACGCTCACGTGCTCCCAAAGCCACGCAGCCGGGGACGCTGCCAGCCCTTTGGCCACACGGCTGTCAGCCCCGTGCCCGTCGCTCACCTCGTTCTTGGAGGGGGGCTCGGGGGTGCCGGTTTTCTTGATGGCGGCCGCCTGGATGGCGCTGCCGGCCAGCGTGGCGATGACCTGGCCCTGGGCATTGAGCAGCAGCTGGGGCGTCACCGTCTGT